CGACGGCGACACTTGTTTAAATTAAACTTTTTGACCCAAATTTATGTTTGAAGTTGATATGCACTTTCATGTCCTTGCCATTGCCTCAGGCTCTGACTTTGCCTCTGACTTGTCTTCGGCTTTGGCTTTTTGCGTAATATTCTAAAAAGCCAAACATACGTGACAGTATTTTGTAATTTTGCTATGAACTCAAATGAGTTTCCTTCGAGGGGAACAGAGCTGCTGCAGTTTTGTTTGAAATAAGAGAGGCTGCTGTGTGGGTCAGGTTCTATTTATATGTTGTGTTTGAATAACTTGGCTTAAGGATTAGCTAAAAGTAGTCGGAGATTAGGACTAAACACATATTCAATTCAATACCGAAAGAAGTAGGTACACATTAAACTAACTTTACTTGTACAAATTTCTTAAAGAAAGATACCCTCTGTGGCATATATTTATCTGTGTTCAACTCTAAATCAATTGATGTTCTACCAATGAATATCAAAGACGAAATTGCCTCATTTCTCTGCAGGCTTCAGCATGATTTCATTATGTTTTCCATTTAACAGACTCCCCAGCATATTTAAGAATATTTCTATCTGTTCGCTTAATTAAAGGACATGCCCAATAGGGGAGGACGGGCGAGACGGCAGGACAGAGCAGGGATAGCGTCGCAAATTGTTGAAAATGAGTTAGCCAAACAGGCCCAAGGCCAGGGAGAATGAGCACAAAGAACATGTAGAAATGAAAGCGTAAGCAGAAAAAAAATGGCCAAAAACGAAGTAAAAATCGAGAGAGAAAACCAAAATGAAAATGAGGCGAAAAGAGGACACGATGCTATATATATGTACTGTATTCATATACATATGTATAAATGAATGGCTACATATGTATATATATGTATATGCCTGTTCAGTGGACAACTATGCACTGGACGTGGCATGCCACAGGCCACCTCTCCCCGAGTCCGGTGGCGCTTCTCGCCTGGGGTCCAGGCGGCGCGTGCTAATTATGATGAAAGATTTCTACATCTTTTTGCGTTAATCCATTTGGAAAATTAGAAATGAAAATTTAATGAAATTTCCACAAACTTTAACAGCAAAAAAAAAAACGGAATTCTCCATACGGTTTTTCCAAACAAAAGACCAAGTCTTTCCAAGGATATCGATTTGCCCCCATGCTATTGACAGTGGTGCCCTGCGGGCCAAAGGTCTTCTTGCTTTGAAGTTAAATTTTTGGTGTTTACAGCGCTCCTCCGTTAATAATTTATAACCTCATCAGTCATTCGGCTTATGCAGTAAATTCTACCAAAATGAACATTAATTTCTGCCAACAGTTGGCAATTAACGCTTCCTCTGTTTACCCATCCTGACCAACTTTTTATATCCAGTAAAATGTTGACTTCACGGGTGTATTGAATTTTGGGGAAAGCATGGAAGAGCCAGAAGGAAGGCTCATGGATTTGGGATTTGTTAAAGAACCTGTGGAATCCACAGCGGATCTTAGCTGTAGATATAGGCTGTGGCATGATTGTATACACAGATATTATCCACCAATGCGATTCCTTAGATTGACAGATAGCTCTCCACTTCCAGGGTATTTTCCCGTTGCAATATCACTGCTAAGTTTTTTTTCCACCAACTTCTTTCTGCTGCTTCATAACACGTTTTTAATTACCCATTCTTGGGGCAAGGACAATGGCAGGAAAGGAAGGTCCTGGCAATGGCATGACAGCCCCACTCAGCAAAAGCAATAGAGGAGTACGACTTGAAAACAATTAAAAATGTCGTAATTGTCGCATTAATGTTTTTCTGATCACATTATGTCCTCAGTTCCATCCTTCCGTTGCGTTCTTGGAAAACAGCCAACGATAGAACCCTAGGATAGGAACAGAGCACACAGCAAGGACCCACAGCACGCACAGCAATTGGAGCGCAATAAAATGACTAAAAATACGAATTAAAATTGTGCAGTCGACAACGTAGGCCCAACAAAATGGGATTTAACTGTCAAAAATCATGCAAACTTTCACGAAATTCATTTGGCTATCATCCTATCACGCCCTTACGCTCCCTTAAATTATAAAAAAAAAGAACACAACAAAAAAAATTTTGGCTCCAACAGCCGGCCAGCATTCAATTTGAACGTGTTCCCGTGGCCATAAAACATTGCCGGGGCCTGTAGTTAATGGCCTATCGGGAGGGTCCTTCCTAGCTGGACTAGCTTTGAATCATTAAACGCACTTGTGGCAGCCATCTGTATATGTAGGATACGGGGTAGGATGGGGATCCCACCCATATTTGGTGGCCAGTGGTCGTCCGACCAGAGCAGGGATGGACTAATGGTTTTCAAGATGAGTAAAAAGTTGAATTTTTATAGTTTTCGACGGGGATTTATTGATCTCTGGCATAATTTTCCTCATCTTTGCACTGTTTCTTCCTTCATGTTTAACAAAACTTCCTTTAGTTGGTAATTTCTCACAGGAAAAGGAGGGATGGGATGGGATGGAAATGGTCTCAAGCATAATAAACATATTTCAATCTTAATGAAAATTGTTTCACTTTTTCCGGGGCGTCCAATAAACAACATTTGCGAGAGTTGTTGGTATCTGCGTGTGGGTTGTGCAGTTAATGTAATTACCGCAACATTTTTCTTCTCTACTCACACACACACACACACACACACACATATCGCAGTGGAGATGTACTCCTTCTTTCCCCAAAAGGATACGGGGACAAGAAGCCGTTACTAACAGACACTCCGTGAACGACTCTCGGACTCTCGGACTCTCGGACTCTCGTTCAATTGCCAAGATGGACTTATCAAGCACCAGGACCCCGAACCGACCCCACATGTCAGTCAGTCAGCCAGCCCATGTGCCTGCTCGTTCTCCCTCCCATTCTTACGTATTTCTCATTAAAATTGAGCAACCATTATTACAGGAACGTGCCTGGGTGCCTGCCTTGGCCGCTGACCCGGGGTATATAATTTATACGGCAACCAACTCCTTTTGATCCCCAGCTTCTGTGTGCCAGAGGACAAGGACCTCCTTTAATTGTGACTCTTCTCTGTTGGCCGGCTGCTTTATTTATTTAGCATTTTAACCATTTCATGAACTGCAATCGCATTTCCTTGCCAGCTCTTAATAATTTCATTTCATTTTTGCCCCCATTTCTCTTTCTTTGTGTTGCTGCTTTTCCTTTTCTTTTGGCCACAAAAATATTTATACTGGCTAAATGAAAATTGCTGTCAGTTGATAATGAAAATGGAAATTATGTTGTCCAACTACTTGTCGTATAACTGTAGGCAATTATGGTGAAGTGCTCTCGCAGGACCCCAGCGAGTACTTCTAATCTGAGGAGATTTAAACAAGATCGTAAAACATTTGACACATTCATTGCCAACGCGACTTTTGACGACTACTTACAATTCTGCAAATATTTTCCACATGGGAAACAAACATTTTTCCCTCATTGTTTGATTTGGCAAAAAGGAAGAGCGAATGCCTCAATTGAACGCCTACATCACAAGTGACGTGTCTGCATTGAATGCCATTTGGTTCGAATTTTTATAAATCATTGCCAGTCTCAATGGCTTTTTTGTCTGCCACTGGGGTAGCGTAGCGTGGACTCCGGTGTAGACCGGAAAACCCGGAACCAAGGACCGTGCTCCGGCAGCCACAAAACACATTCATCAAATCCGCAGAGTCATTCATCATGGGTAATATATTTGACATTGTCAGTGATGGATAAATACTACGCAGAGAGTCGCACACAAACATACACACATCCCCGGCTACTGCCAAAAAGCAATGGCATTGGTAACAAAACAAACAAAAGGCCAAAATCAGGAACGACAGGATAAGAGATATTATAGAACATATGGGTATGGGTATGGGTGTGGGGGAGGCGGAGCCTGTCTTCTGTCGTCTGCATGTTAAATTTGCAAAATTCTCTACATTTCGATGCATGAAAATTGCGTTTAAATATTCGCTTCCATTTGTTTCGGCCATGCCTTTCGCTCGGGCTCTTGGTCGAGCTCTCAGGTGTTTCCATCTGCAATCCAATTTGGGAAAGTCGGATTTCCTCTCCAGGACTATAATCTCAAATAATACTTATTTTCATACATAACAATTTAATATATTAGTTTAGAGAGTAGGAGAACGACCAGGCATACATATTTTTATACATGGCCAAAATAATAATATTTACATGAAATTTGTCAGCTGTAATCGGCACTTTTCAATCATCAGAAGCACTGTATTACCGCTTTCCTGCTTGTTGATTACATTCTGTTGATGTGGTAAAAATTGGTGTTATAAATTGAATTGAATATTTAATTATTACTTGCCTTTCATTTTCGTGATCGCAAGCGTTTTGCATTCAGGCGTTCTGCAAGCTGAAAAGTATACAATTACCTAATTACCTAATTACCTGTCCAGATCGACACATAGTTTATATGGCAGCCTTAGGAAATGTAAAATATATTAGCGAAACCACAAAGTCAAAGCAATACGACGCAGCTTACCCAAATCTTTGGAGAATGCTACCAGAGCAAGGGTTGAAAAAATGAATAAAAGATGTATCGACCACATGATGTAACGTTTCAGAATATACTGAGATACAGAGGCCCGCTATGCCAATCACTTGTAATAGCCCCATAAAATCGTATTAGATATACATTCGTATATGTGACACACTGAACGACAGAAACTAATAATTAGGATGGAATTCAGCGAACAATACTGGTCAAGGGAATGCGGTTTTACTTCAGAGGTCATGCAAAAATTGAGATAACTGAAACGGCGCCGAAACGGCATAGAAGAAGGGGTCTAGTGCGAGCCAATTTGTATTATGAAAACGATATCCTTTATGATGTAACGTTTCAGGAGATAAAGAATTTTCATCTGTAATGCGCCAATCATTTGTAATAACCCTTTCAAATGGGACTTGATAAACATATGGAACCAAATTATATTCAAAATATTTTCAATGAATCTGTAATCTATTATACAATTTCAATCCGCTCAATATGGTTTATTCGTTGTCAAAATTGCATTGTAATGATACTACCACCAGTTCTAATTCAATAATAACCTAAAATCTCAACGTTATTGTCGCCCCCATAGACCCTTTGGATTGCAAGCTAAAATGCCGTAAAATAATCATAATTATAAATAAACTTAACACGTCTTAATAGTCACCTCTATAGGCCTCGAGTGCCGCGTCATGGCACTGAGCCGTACTGCATTCTGAAAAGCAAAAAGTACAGTATCGGAATACTATTTCTTTTATTATAGTTACTTGTCCAACCAGCCACAAAGAAAGCAGCGCAATCTTTGGAAGTGAAAAGAAATATTTGTAAAAATAACCAATTATATCAAATTGTACATTTCATACTGAGAGTAGGAGTAGCAGTAGTAGATCCACACATTCCCAAAACCAGAGCTAGCAGTATGAATACGGTCAACCTCATGATGTTACGTTTCAATATATACTGATAATGCAATTCAGCTGTAATGTAACTTTCATGGATCATTTGTAATAAGCCTTTCAAATGTGATTAGACACTAGAGACCCATGCACCGACAAGACAGTCTCGGCATTCCGCCGTCTTGCAACAAATTTTGGTTCAGATTGAAAATATAAAATTTCTCATATTTACTTGGCCAACAAAAACTGTAAGTTAGTTTTTTTATTCTTTAAAAAGAGGAATAACTTGACTTTATTCCTATTTATATTTCTATTGATCATAATCAGAGAAGTGGTGGTAGACAACAATACGACTATAGTAATAATATAATCCAATCATATTTAAGAACCATTACAAATGGAATTAGATGTATGATATTAGTTGGTTATTTAGATGGGTATTAGTCATAGTTAGTAGATTCAATCTTTACTTCTCCATTCGGATCACATTCTGAAAATCGTTAAATGTAATAATTATATTTCTGTAAATTGATGTACTTGCCTTTAAAATCCGCTATGGCTTCCGTTTTGCATTTTCCCGTTTTGCAATCTGAAAAGCAGGAAATATTATCATAAAAGGTCGATAGATCAATCGTTAGTTACCATTCCAAGATTCCTCAAACGTAGTGGCGCAAGCTATAGAAATGGAAAAAAATGTTAGCAACACAACAAATTTAATTCATTCTTTATACCTTCCTCCTCGGGAGTTTTATGGCAACTCACTCGCAGAACGAGGGCCAACAATACGAATAGGATCGACCTCATGATGCTTCGTCTCAGCATGAACTAAGCTTTTATTTGCCGCATTCATGGATCTGCTCCTCTAAACCGTTTCAAATGTGATTAGATATATGATATTATATGGGGTAAAATACCATTGCAATTAGTTTAGGAACTCCAGTAGTGAGTCCCTAGCTTGACCAGCTGGAGACAGGTCCTTTGCCGGCTGCTGCTTCATTTCAATTTCCGGAATTTTTAGCCCTCACATTGCGATAAGTTGGCAAGACCAGGACCAGGGAGAGCCAAAAGTTGCGCAGAGTGAGAAAAACTTTGGGAATAGCTTGTGTCATGGGAAAGCGTACGATATAAAGAAATCTAAGAAAGTGGGCAAAGTGTTTTTGTGCTTTTCGAAGGCAACTAAGCGCGAAAAGTTTCCCTTTCTCCCACTCTCTATATATATGGCAAGGACAACAACAACGCCAACGAAGACGACGATGTTGGAGCTCTAAATAAAATAAATTCGATTCGCATTTGGCTGAAGATGGCGAAAAAGCCGCCAACGGGCCTCCTCCTCTCCTACTCCACCCGCGACTCTCGCCCTTGGCAATCATCGCTGTGCAGATTTTTTGTTTGCCGCTCGCCGGGCCCCAACTTTTCTCTGTCTTTTTTTGCCCGTTTTGCGTTTCGCGACGCGCTGCCACATTAATTTCACTTCTTATAAATCTCACTAGCTGTCCCCCAGTTGCCCACCCATCGACCCATCCACTGTGGAATCCAACTTAAAGTTACGTTGGGCTGACGCTGGCCCTTAAAGTCACAAGTTGTTTGAACCATAATTCATTTCCTTATCGGGTTCCATTCAATGCAAACACACACACCCTCACATTTCTTTTGTTTGCCATCTTTTCAATTAGTGTCAATATTTTAATCGCTTTCGATTAATTTCAATTTGCTCGGCTATTTTTCAACAAAAACACTGAAAATTGCTTGCATTCGCTAGCAAATATTGACAGACTTGTAATTTTACCTAAACGATGGGCCAGGCCCAGAGCGTAGCCCTGGCCCTGGCCCTGGCATAGAAGAAATCTGATTGCCCTACAGCCATATGGAGTAGGGTATATGTCCAGAGTTTAGGTAGATCCCAAAAAACGACACCTGGAATAAAATAAATTGCCTAATGTGCACATATGGATATGCATATTCCATAGATAAATTTCTATTGCCTAGTTAGGGGGGAAAAAAGCGTGAAGTCTGCCCGAATTGCTCTTTGTTTGAATACTTCTAGTTGAGTGCATTGTCTCAGGGAAGGGTATAGAAATGATAACAGATGATTGCTGATTGCTTAGGAAACTTGAAATAGATTCAATTTACATATATTGAATATATATTAAATATATTATATACTTCAGAACTTAAGTGTTGGCTCTTTGACTCATAGCGTAGTTTGTGGACAGGCTAAAAACACTAATTTATCATTGTATCTTTTTTGCAAATTTTCCGTAAATTCTTTACATGTTCATATTTGAATACACACTGAATTGGCAACTAATTTAAATTCATTCACATGGAATTGTTTTTTGTGTGTATTTTGCGGGTCGATCCACTTCAATTGTAACAGCAAAATTATGCTAAAAAAGGTTTTGGTTTTTATAAATAAAATAAAATTCAGGTACAAAAAAATTAGGAAACAATATTTACAGGTTTTCATGGTTGTAAAGGCTTTTTGAGGTCCATAAAAAGTTGCCTGTCTAATGTACAGGACGAATTGACATGTTTAATGTTTGGTGGGGAGAGGTCGGGGACGCGGCAATAAAAGCCATATAATGGCATTTGGCAGTAGGAAAATATTGAGCAATAAAAGTCGCACAAAAACCTAATGAAAACAAACAAAACTATAAATTCGCCAGCATAAAACTCCACGATTGGCAAAGCATTTAACACAAAACAAATAAACATTTAAGTTTTATTTATACGAGAGAGAGTTGCTTTGCCCCTCACATTTCTCTGCCACATTCTCCGCTTAATCATGTTAAAAGCCAAATGCTGTGCGAACAAGTTCGTGGCAATGAAACAACTGTTTCGTATATCTGTGGATGTGGATGCGAAATTGGAGCTGAGTAAATTGCATTTGACATTGCGTTTGAGTCTGAAATGGATGGAAGCCGGGGAATGACAAGTCAAAGTCGCTCGTATCAACCGGAAAAAAGCAACGAAAGCATTTTGAACAACAAATAAGAATGCATTTTCAATATTACGACTAAAAGGTACCCTCTACAAGGGAACAATCTAACAAAATCTTTATCGATGAATAGAAAACGCTTCATTATTTCCACGAATACCCATCTACTCCTCTTGTACCGGGTAGAATAAACTTAGCCCACATCTGTTTCTCTTTCTTTTTTGAATTTATTTGGGTTATAGCTGTTGTGGTCGTTGTGGATTGACTTGTGGTCGGAGAATATGTACGATATACTCACACATGTGGGTCAGTCGGGCGATTGTTTGGTCTGTCAAAATGACAGAATATATTCTGCCCCTCATATCACATAGCGTATGTTGGGTGAATAAAAAGAAAATAACTGGAAATACATTTGACTGTCAGTGGGGATAATTGTAGTCATAATATTCTAAAATCTTCACCCCCTGTCTTCCACGACTGACATCCTAAGCTATAAGTGCTTTATTCGAGCTGGAATTGCTAATTTGCGTCAAGTATTCAATTACTTGTATTTGGCTTAAAGAATATGCTTTAGGCCGTCCTTTGCCCGTCCTTCAAATATTGCTTAGCCATTTGTCAGAGACCCAAATCAAAGAAGAGCTCTTCCCCCATCCATATATCAGGCCGGGCTACCTCAACTATTAGGCTTAAACGGTTGTTTGTGGTCTCAGCGACCGTAATTATAAGTTAAGCTGCTATTAATTATGGCGCCTAATAGAGAGAGGAGTAGTAGGTGGCTACACAGCCCATATGCTTAACCTCAATGTCGGCATCATGGCCCACACCTATACTATACGTATACTCGTACATATTGGCTCATCCATAAGCAGTGCAGTGCATATATCAGGCATCCCAGCCGCCCAATAGTCTAATCGCTTCGGCGGGCAAAAGTCGCTTTTCGGGTGCGCGCAACCCCAAAACGAACCCTTAATTAATTTGCGAGTTCGGTATCAAATTTTCACAAGTGTGTGAGGGGGTGCCACGTGGTGTGCGTGGTTGTTGGGAGAACTTTGGCGCTAATTAGCAATAAATTTGATATTTGAAAAGGAACTGATTGAGCCGACAGAGCTCCTCCTCTGTTCGTGGATTATGATATATTGCTGCTGCTGATATATGTACATACATATATCACTTAATGCTAAGAAACAATAAATTGTTTCTGAGTACCTGTTTTGGCAATCGAAATATTTTAAATTGAATACCCAACAATACATTAACTGCATCCACTTTATCGGTACCACTGCAATTAACATCCTAGAGGATACATTGGCCGTGATTACGTTATATGCCATAAATTCGTCACCATCGCTGTAAAAGCTCGCGTGTCACTCCAAGTCTGTAAAGTTCCATTTCCATCCAGGACAGGATGGGGATTCAATGGGCTCACACCTTAACCGATGACGCCTCCAGCAATCCGATCAGCAATGCAGCCAAGCACCAGGGGGCCGCGGATGACATAGTGCGATCCGCCTCGTCACTTTTTCCGACTTTGATCTTTAATAAACAATTAAATTGTATTTTAATGGATTCGATTTTCAGTCACATAGCGACTTTATTCCTGCTAATCTATTCCACTAATCTCACTGAGAATGAGCACCATCTTATAGATGGCTTTGAATTGTTAGGCAACCTAGGCTTATTAGACTAATTAGAAATAAATTAGATATTTGAAAAGCCGATTGAGCCGATTTTGACAATTTATTGCATTAAATACAACATCATTATATTAATTATCAAGTTTGATTATTGATTATTATTGTTCAGCCGAAGCATTATGCCAGTGATGAATCGTGCGACGATGTTGCTGCTATCATCGTAATCGTCGAACGAAAAGCCTCGCACCTCTCTGTGCCAGGCCTGGCCTGCGTACTCGCCGTTCTGGTTGACCACCGGATGTGGCTGGTATTGGCCAACACCATAGCCGACAATGAGGCCTGTAGCACGATCCACAACGCAGCCAATGACCAAGGGGCCCTGGATCTGGATCAGTGATGTAGTTGATGACTCATTGAGGGCACTGGCCAGACCATTTGCCATCTCGCTAACCGCTTCC